GTCCAGAGCTCAACTCCGAAAGTATCGCGAAAGATTACTATTTTTTTCTTTTACCTACTTCAATATCACACGCACAAAAAGGCTAGCATCGTTAAATATATTTACGGCAAGATCGTTTTTATTTCAACTTGCTGTCACTTAATCCTTTTAAAATTACTGTAACAACATTTCGCTCTGTAACGAGACGCTTGCACGGGCACTGAAAAGATGGGATGGGGAAAACCTATCGTAAAAGGCAGCCTTCTCCGCACAAATTGTTAGGTTTTAATTCAGGAGAAAAACTTCTGCTTTAACGCAGAAGACAACAGGGCATCACTTTTTCACCATCTTATCTTCAATACGAATGCAATCTACTGTTAAAGCTGACTGTGGCGGTGTTTAGGAAGCTCACTTGCTCTAATTAGAAGAAAAGATTAAATACAAAACACTCTTCTAGATTTAACCACTAAAGCGTGTAGGGTAATTTGTATACACATATATAAACACACACATCCACATGCATGCACAAACACACCTCTGACATACAAATAATAAAAGCCTCAGTAGTGAGAAACCGGGCACAGCATCTGGCTGACGCACCTCTCAGAAACTGGCGAACTGATCATCTCAGTGAACGCTAAAAAGGGTTTGGTTGGTTTATGCAGTTAAAATCTCCTCTGCAATAAGGAAGACCTTGCTCAGATGGCAGAGAGTGCCTGCGTACGCTTCCAGCTGCCGTCCCCAGACACTCGTCTCTCTGGGGACGAAGGCAGCGCCTGTTCGGAGGGCCTGGCGCGGTCGAGGCAAGCCCTGGGCTGCAGTTCGCACCAAGGCTAACAGGCATGGACGCAACCTTTCCTCCTCCCCCAGTACTGCACGCACAGTTTACTACCAGATCTTGCAAGCAACACTTCAAATTACTCACTTAGCCCAAATTAGTCCTGTATCGGCGCATCTAACTGTCATGTTGTTAATGTTTTACTTTACTGTAACACCCAATTTGAGACCGTATTGCACAACGTTTTGTCATTTACGCTGCAAAATAAATAAAGAGGAAGGCACGGATTACCGTGTGTACAAGGGAAGCTAAAACGCACAGTTTCCGTGACAGCTTTCAGCAGCGCAGCGTGGCAGGGTGGATAATGTTGATACAAACTCTATTTTCTTTCATTTTATTGTTTTCCACCTCCTAATAAACCGGGGTAGCCTCTTGACCCTAGTCAGCTGATCGGAATCACATGCGCCGGGCTTGCTTAGCTGCTCTCCCCGTCTCGCCTCCATCTTCTCTCCCTCCCTTCGCGGTGAGAAAGGAGCCGAGCCGAGCCGAGCCGAGCCGAGCAAGCCCGGCTGCAGGCTCCAAAGGGCAGGGTGATCGATCCGAAACGCCGCTTTAAAGCCTCATCAATCTTCATCTAGGTTGCTCAAGTAATTACGCCCGATTCTCTTGTACGATTACAAGTGGATTTGGGTTTCTATTCCCCAGGCCCCCTTTCTTTGTGTTTACAGAAGGGGGGTCTGGGCAGACAGCGGCTCCCTGCCCTGCAGAAGCACTTGCCCTCTCAAGCAGAGCGTCCCAGCCCTCCCCTCGCCCTCCTCCGCAGCGCGGCCGGGAGCCGCCGCCTGGCCCGGCGCACGGTGATGATGGGCTCCCGGGCCTTTGTGCGGAAAGAAAAGCGCCTTCGGAAGATGCGTCCTGGAAACGACCCGATATTCTATCATTTTAAGGAGGCGTTTGTGGGCTTTGCTGAATCCCAGAAGGAAGACTATCAATTTAATCCAATTACCTCTTTTGCCTGGTGTTGTGTGGCTAAAATAAAAATAAAGCCACCGCTATTTAATGGTCAAAAGGCCAAAACCTATAATCTGACATCCAGGAGAAGACAATAGGTGCACCCCGGCCAGCGGGTGGGCTAGCGATTTGCACTCACGTACTGGAGGAGGGGGCAGAGCTGCAAAACAAGGGGTGGATGTGGAGGGAAAGGGGACATTCACTTCTTAGCCCGTTGCTGAATGCAGGGGAAATCGGGGATTTCTGGTTTCCTCCTCCCGAGAAAAGGCTCCGAGCTCCCAGACCGGTACCTTGGCATCTGCCCTGTGTTCTGCTCAAATGACACCCTAGATTTCTTGCAAGGTAAACATGTCAGAGGTATTAAAATGCGATAAGGAATATGCGTTATTGTAATTTCCAGATGAGAAAACGTTTGCTTGTGGGCTGTTTTTTTGGTGTTTCCCCCCCCCCCCCCTTTTGGTAAAAAAGAAGCAGAAAGCATAATAAACAGTGGTCAAATTATGGGATTTCGGGGGAGGGGGTGTTCAAACCAAGTTAAAAAAATCTTTGCAGATTTTTTTTTTCTCCTGAAAGCACAAAATGAAAAAAATATTCGGTATTAACAGTGTGTCGTTTTTACACTTGTCCTTTGGAAATCTCCAATTACAACTTCCAATTCCATAGCATGTTTAAGGAGCACTGAGTCTTTTTGTTGTAGCCTTCAGGGAGCAAGCCAGCCACTGAGAGAATACGAAATTAATCCACTACAGCTATAGAGAGAGAGGATTATGTTTTAATCCCCTTTGGGATAGTCTCTGGATTTTAAGGATCTGATATTAAAATGTTTACATAGAACATAATCAAAACACTGCAGATTTTCCATATGGCACCGAGCTATCGGGAAGCTTTGGGTCCCCTTCCCAAACCCAACTGATAATCTAATGAAACAAAAGCCGGGCACACCTGAGCCAAGAGCCGCGGGACGGGCTCATTCGCATGCGGGGAAGATAACGAGCTCCGGCTACCAGCCTCACCCCGGCCCCTCTGCGGCGGCGGCGAGCTGCGCTTTTGCAGGGGATGTAAATTTTCATTCCCAGCGCGGCTGTAACCATCAGAAGCGAAGCGCAGCGGGCTCTGCCCGCACTCGGGGCTGCGCTGCCTGGGGCGCCGGCCGGCAGCGGCACACGGGGGATGCTGCCGGGCGCTCCCCGCGCACATCAAGAGCCACCGGCGACACCGAGGGCACTTCACTTCCAGCTCCGGGGGAAAAGCCAACCTGTGGCTGCTCCGCTTCACCAAACAGCTTGGGGTTTGTGGAGAGGACACGCGTCTAGAGCGCTTGTCGGTTGTTGGGACTCTAAGCAGGAGCATCTCTTTTTAAGGATCATTTCGTTGCCTCTTCCCAACCTCTCTGCAGCGGTCGGGGCGGCCCGTAGCAGAGAGGCAGCGACCTAACAAAGAAGTTTTGGCCTTAAAACCAGACCAGAAAACACTTCAGATCCACACGTCTTGCAATCTGTTCAAATGGAGAATTTTCCGCTTTGCCTGATCCCTGTGGTTGGCACATGTGATTTACATTTCTAAAATAAACGCTACCGCGCACATACATTTTAAAAATAATATTTCCTTTCCAAAAGTAAATGATTGTGGGATTAGAAGGTCCCAGTGAATAAAAGCAGAATGTAATCTCTCTCATCCCCTCCGTTAATTTTTCTTAAACAGAGACTTCAGTTCTTGTATTTAGCTCTTACACTTGTATCGTAGCTCTTGTATTTTTCAAGTTCAAGCAAAGAAAGTCAGTGCGAGTTAAAAGTTCTATCAGGTGAAAGACTTTGCTATCTGCTAAAGCAATACCAGTAAAATTACACCTCTTAAGGAAAGTCCCAAAAGAGTGGTATTTTGAACTGTTATTTCAAACATTTTCATTTTCATAAACTGCCATTTTTAAACGTAAGAGCTAAAGATGTGTTACATTTATGAGCCTGAAAATTACACCGGAGGTATATTTTCTAAGATGATCGGGCATAATTACTCCTAAGTAGGATAAGACATATGCTTTTATATGCTGAATTATGAAAACAAGCAATTTACCTACTACAGACTTAAAAGTCTAACTTTTAAAATAATATTTTGGTGATTACTTATAGATGCAAAAATACTAGCTGGGACAAATACTTTGAATACATATCTAATCACCTAGACCAATTTAATTTTACAATCTACTGGTAATTTTTCTGAAAAAAGTGGTGAATATTGTCATGTTTAATTTTTTGCTAACACTTTTAAAAGAAAAAACATCTTAATCTTTTTTTCATATACTGTTTAACATGGAAAAAACAAAACAGATTAGCTGAAACTAATAATTTTACTAAATAAATAGTTTGCATAAACTACAGTTTGTAATTTGATATAATACTTAAACAAGAATTTTAAATATTAAGAATAATTATTAAAAATCCCTCACAATGTACCTGAAATAAGACGACTGAAATTCCCTAAGCACTTTAACTCTAAAGCCAAGTGTATTTGACACTGACTTGCATTTAAAATGACTACAAATCCTTATACTTGAAACAATTTATACATAACACACACTCACGCACACAAAACCTTCAGTTTCTTGTAATATAAATCACATAGCATATAAGCAGAAACAGGTATAGGCACCAGAAGCCTTCGGGAAAAGCTCTGTAGTCAGAAAAATATTTCAACCAATTAACATCATTAATATAATACATGCACTGCCATGTAAATAACAAGTAAACAAT